CCTTTCTCTGGCAAGTGCACAAACCCCCTGGCAATAAAAAATAGTGCACATAAAACTGCATATTAGAATATGAATCCGATATTGAATAATCTCTTTCACTACCGTCTACTTTGACATGAGATTCTGCTGTTGTTCACAATTACTGTAATATATATTCATGCATATTTTTATGACATATATGTGTTTGACAATGTTCTTATTGAAATAAATTTCCTTCCTTAGATTCTTAATTGAAGATACATTATCAGGAAGGCCAAGGAGCGAGAATGATAAACTCAACAATTAGGGTTAATCTCCATTGATTTTTCTTTTTTATTGTTGTTAGGAAGAACTTAGGAAATGACTGTGTAGCAGGAGGCTTTCCCCCCTTGGTTGCTGGGAAACAGTCATTTGTGATTATTTCAAGGCATTGCCACCTGGAGTAGAAAATGCCTTTGTGTGCCAAGGTGCCAGAATAGACAGATCGCATCACTTCAAGACCAAACATCTGCTGAGACAACGTTGAGTATGCTGTGAAGTCCAACTGGCTACAGTTTTAAGAACATTTGTTTCAAAATGTCATGTGCCAATTAGTCCATAAAATATTTATTGAATCTAATATATTCAGAACAATATGATATGTGCAAACAAAAGATAGTAGTTAACAATCTATCTCCCTCTCTAACAAGTTATTTATAATCAAAGGCTAGAAATAGTTTCTAACATAAAACAGATGTGACCTTTTCCCTAAGGAACATACTGGATAGGCACTTCTGAATCAGAGATGGGATGAAGTGGAGAATAAAATGTTGTCTGTTCTAACATCCCATCTCATGCGGTTCTTCCTCCTGCAACGTATTATCATCTAAGTTCTGTTTAAAAGAATACAATTATATTTGTGACTGTCCAGGAAGCAACCATCTTTTCTTATTTTTACTTTTGTTTTTTAGGTTTTGCCATAGGGGTACATGTGCTCACCAGAGACAAACAGAGACACAGTGAGAGGGAAAGTAAGAATCACCTGATCACCTGTCAGTGGGAATGTCCTGGTCACCTGTCAGGGATTATGGCCACACCATAATCTCTTCTCCTTCATTCTTCTCCTGAGATTTTGGGCATGTGCACACAGTCTCCAGACATGATTTATTTTCTTTCCTTTTTTTTTTTTTTTTTGAGTGAAATTTTTGCTATAGAGAGCATGCACATGCCAGAGAGGCAGAGAGAGATAGAGAGGTGGAAAGTGAGAAATCACACCCCTCCCTCTAGGGGGTATGGCCATGCCACAATCCCTTCTCCTCCATTCTCCTCTTGGGATTTTGAGCACATACACTCATATGCCAGGCGTGAGTTTTAAGCTGCTGGATCCAAGACTCAATCCGCACTCAACTATGTGGGAATCCAGTGACATAACCATTATGCCATCTGCTAGCCCCTCCCAACATGATTTCTAAGCTGCCAGGTCTGTAACTCAAAACCTTATTCAGTCATATGATAGTCTAGTACCTTAACTACCATGCCTCCTGCTGGCCCTGGCAACCATCTTATTATTTTGGGAAATTCAAATTTCTTTACATGATTTCTCATTGTTGGGCCATGCTTAATACATCTCTACACATTTGATGACCACCCCTCTAAAAAATGTGCCATGCATCTACTGTCTAAGCCTAGGTTTCTAATTCTTTCATTTATTCATACAGCTTTTTTTCTTTTATAATTGAGCCCTCTTTAAGCCTTTAAAACACTGCCTGATCTATCCAGCACATGTTAATATTCAAACAATGACCTGTCTGGCTTTCTCATGTTAGTGAGGAAACAAACGCAAGAGTCATGAGTCAACATGGATTCACACTTTTCTCCTGAAATATATTTTCTGGGATAAGGATGCTTTATATGAAAAGACCTGGAGACATGCACAAGGTTTTACTTAGTTCTCACAGAAGGAAATGAGAGCCTCCAAGGAGTCTCTAAATAATTTAAAGCAAAATGATCCTTAGCCATGGCAGAGATAAGGTAAATGAGCTGGAGTCAGGCCCGGAAGAGGATGACCAATGTTTGAGCAAGTTTGTTGGTAGCAGCTGTGGCTGCGATGCTGCTTGAAGAAAGAGGCAAGGGAGGCCAGATAGTGTGACAGCAAAACTCTAGGGTCTCCTGGCAGTCCCACATGGGAGGGTTCCTGGTTGAAGCTCAGAGACCTCCCTGAGTGAACCAGGCAGGCCTGTGTACATAATCAGGTGTGAAAGGTGGGCCATGGTGTTGAGACTCTGTTGGGGGTGCCGTCTCTCTCTCTCTTTCTCTTTTTCAGTTTCTCTCAGCAAATACATAGATACTTACATACATACATACATACATACATACATACATACATACATACATACATAAAAGAAAAAGAAAAGCAAAGAGACTAGAAAGTGTCTGGGTATGATGTGGTGACGTTAACTAAAAGAAGGTAATCCTGAGAGGGCCAGCAAGTGGCATGATAGTTAAAGCACTGGGCTCCCACATCATCGGCCATGGTTTGAATTCTTGACCCACTGGCTTGAAAAATCACGTTGGATATGTGTGAGCGTGTGCCCACAATCCTGGGAGGAGACCAGAGGGGAAGGGATTATAGCATGGTCATCCCCCTTGGGGGATGATTTCTCATTTTCCCTTTCACCATCTCTGTCTGTCTCTGGCAAGCACATGCACTCTACGACAAAAAAACCTAAGATAGATAGATAGATAAATAAATAAGTAATTCTGTGAATGTAATTCAGGGTATACTGCAACTTGTCTTATGTAGTAGACTGTAGGAGGATTAGGAGATATTCACAGTGCCTGCCAACCAGGAACAGTATCAAAGAATCTGATGCATTGCTTAGGTAGGGGAGGTGGCTGCTCTTGCTAATCTGCAGGACTTCCCACAAATCATTGCCCAGGAGATCACTTGCTTTCTGATGCAGTTTTGTCATTGCCCTGTATAGGCAGTGGTATGCTAAAAGAAAGAAAAAACTGGGGCTGAGATCTGTCATATCAGCTCTTCTCTAATGAAGTGATTAACATCTATTGACGCAATTTTTACAAAACTATTAGGTCAACAAACATATTTTTAGGTTATTTATTTTTTCTTGAATGTTGTAGGTTTGTGATTTAATGTTTAAATGAAATCTTTTAATTCTAAAACCGCAAGATACATTTTCTAAAATTTACTCTTTTATCAATAAATGCTAGCTTTTGGGAACCAGCAGTTAGTGTAATGGCTATGTCGCTGGACTCCCATGTAGTCGACCGCGGTTCACATCCCGGACCCGGTGGCTTAAAACTCACGCAGGGCGCGTGTGCGTGCATGCCCAAGATCCCGAGAGGAGAATGGAGGAGAAGGGATTGGTAATGTGGGAAAAAAATCTCATGATAGAGAAAACAAAGAATATTTTGATCTGAATCCATATTGGATCTCAAATAGGTTCTTTTCATTCTTTCTGAATATTATGTTCTCTTCTTGAGAAGAGACTGAGGGGCTATTTAAACTTTCATATTGGCTACAGTGGTAAGTTCCTATTAAATATTTGATACTGTTGTACTGATAACACAAGACATTATGCAAAACTTGGCACACACGTGGTTCACGAGAGCATCTGCTTCAGAATAAAACACTTCAGAGCTGAAACTTAGCACCTAGCAGTCAGTGCTCCCAAGGAGATGAGCCATGGCGTCTCTGATGTTGTTCTGCTTTTATCCTTACCGTGAACCTCTGTGCCCCGGCTGCTGTGTGCTCCTAGAGCGACATGGCCAGCTTCTCATAAATCTTTTCTCTTTATTCTTTTTCTATTTTTTTTTCTAACGTGAAGGCAATTTATTAACAGAACAGTAATTTGAGGATTCCTGTTCACAGACGGAGACTCCCCTTCCTGTGGGTGCTGTCAGATGGGATGGAGGTGACATCCTCAATCCGCCCAAACTTCCTAGCTGAACGGGTGACTGGGCCCCAGGGCAAGGGTTCTTGTCCTGTTACCCTCAAGGCCTGGAGTTTAGTATGTAGGGCAGTGAAGCTCAGATCCTTGTCATGTCCTGTGAGCCACATCCTCTGTCCCATGGCCTCTGGGCCACTCCTGGGCAGCCTGCATGGCAGTGTGTGACGAGGCTTCATCTTGGTCAGCATTCACTTTCATCTCACTGGTCACACGGCAGATGGTTTCCTTGCCAGAAAGGTCAATGACATAGGCAAAGCTATCATTGAGAGATGCGAAGATGTGGCTGACACCAAACACATTTTCTCCTTTGGCCACCTGAGGTCCAAGGCTGATGACCTCTTCCTTCTCTTCCTGTCTCTTGTGAGGTGCCATTTCTGCACATCAGTTCCAGACTCTGCCACCAGAAAGCCTTAAAACTGTCTTAAGGATATTACTCTAATGATAGTGGGTAATAAATTAAATAATTTAGTTTCTTTTACTCAGTCTCAGGACATCAAAACAAGCCCATATGTTTATCAAGCACTCTCGTAACAGGCCGAGCATAGTAGTTACATTACTGTGGACAGAACTTCCTTGAGATAATTGATCTTGCTTTTAAAACTGTGATTTTTACTAAAATAAAATGAGTAGTCTTTGAAACGTTAGTCACCTAACATAAGTGACATCACTTTTACCTAGAGTCCCTAGTACACTTTGATGATTCTTCCTCCTTAGAGACAGCAGAGTTAACGGTTTGAGTATTTTGTTTGTTTTCATTGTCAGAGGGTACATGCACTTGCCACAGAGAGTGGAGGAGGAGTGGAGAAAGGAGAGAGGACTCCCCAGTGGGTCAGGCCGAGTCTCTCTCTGCTGTTTCTCCATCTCTTGGGATCTCAGACATGCACGTACATACACCTGGTGTGTTTTTAAAGCGGCAAGGGCCAAGATTTGAATCATGGTTGGCCATTTGGTACCTGGTTTCTTCAGCTACTAGGCTACAGGGCTGGCCTTCAGTGTTTGTCTTAAAAGTTAAAAGATATATGGGCCAGCCCATGGTCTGGTGATTAAGGCAGCCGGATCCCACATAGATGACTACAGGGTTCTGGTCCTGGACCCAGTGAAAAACATGGTGAGCACATGTGCATGCATGCCCAAAATCCTAAAAGGAGGGAAAAATGGAAGAGAAAGGATTGTAGTGTGACCATCCCCTATGGGGGGTGCTTTCTCACTTTATCTTTCTCTCCCTTATGTCTCTCTCTGGCTAATGCAGCACCATTTAGCAAAAAAAACAAAAAACAAAAAACAAAAAAACAATGTGTATATATATATATATATGTGTGTGTGTGTGTGTGTGTGTGTGTGTATGAACACACACATGCACGCTCACACACTCACATGAAATTCCTTTTGGTAGATACAATTGTCTTTTTTTCCTAAGAATTCTTTCACCTTTTACTGGCTCTGTTTTCTGGGGAAATCATTCACTTTCAGTGAGTTTAAGCTGAGACCAGTCTTCCAGTACAATATCCTTCTCCTATTGTAAAAAAATGTGATAATAAAGTTGCTTCTCTTAAAGATATTTGAGGTAGAGGTACTATATATATTTAATTTCTACGATTTATAATATAAATTTAATTTAAATTATGTTGAGAGCCAGCAGGTGTTGTGGTGGATAAGATGCTGGACTCTCACATGGCTGACCACAATTCATGTTCCAGACCTGGCAGCTTGCTTTCTCATTTTCTCTCTCTCTCTCTCTCTCTTTCTCACTTTCTCTCTCTCTCTCTGTCTCTCTCTGGTGAGCACATGTGTCCTAAAGCAATTAATAATAATAGTAAATAAAAGTTTATAAAGAAAAAATATTGAATATGATAGAATAAAATATGTTAGCATAAAAAAAGGCTAAGCATGAAAAAAGAAAGATTAAATATAGACAGAGAATTTAAAAAGATGGCATACTGAGGCGCCAGCAGGGGCCAGCAGGTGGCATGGTGGTAAAGGTGCTCGCCTCCCACATGGCTGACTGCGGTTCAAGTCCTAGACCCAGCGGCTTGCTTTCCCACTTTCCCTCTCTCTCTTGTTCTCTTACTCTGTCCCTTTCTGTCAAACTAAAATAAATAAATAATAAATAAAAAATGAGTAAATAAAGTTAAATAATTCTTTTTTAAAAAAATGATGGTATATACTTCTAAGTTAATAATACCATATTGCACTGGAAATTTACTATTTCGTACATATCAAGTATTCTCACCACACACACCCACACCTGCACACACAAACCCAATGCAAAGTAGAGATTATAAATATGCTAATTAGATTTACTGGCAAAACCATTTCACAATGTATCCATGTATCAAAACATCACTTTGTACAACTTAAATATATACAAGTGTTTACTTGTCAATCATATCTCCGGGAAGGCTGCAAGAACATCAAGAAGTGCCTGTTTTGATTGAGGGTTGACTATCCACAGAAAATCATTATTTAATTACCATTTAAAATGAAAATGCTTGGGGTCAGCAGATAACTTAGCAGTTACATTGTTGCACCATAGTTCATTGCTGGACTGCGAGTTCCAGACCTGTTGGCTTGTAACTCATGCCAGGTGTGTGTGCATGCATGCTCTAGAGAATGGAGGAAGAAGGGATTGTGGCATGGCCATCCTCCTGGGAATGATTTCTTGCTTTCCCTCTCTCTGTCTCTATAGCAAGCACATATGCCCTATAGCAAAAGTTTCTCAAAAAATAAATAAATGAAATAAAAAGAAAATGCTCAAGAGCAATGTAAATTAAAAGTGGGATGGATTCTTAAAGAAGAAAGCTTCTAGAAAGCACTGTGGTGAGAGTGTAAGTACAATGATCTAGTTATGTATTTATTTTATTTTATTTTTCCAGAAATATCTGTCTTGGGAAGTTTCAGAAAGGGCAGCGTGATAGGGATTCTCACCTCATCGCCTCCCCTGAAGTATGGTAGTGGTAGTGTCACAGTAAACTTATTCAGAGATTTCTCCAAATCAAGTTAAAATGTGTAGGTTGTGGATTCTGGAAAACTAGTTCAAAGCCACTAGCTTCCTGGTGAGACAGAAAGCATTGACTCATTTAGTCAATATGTGTTGATGTCTTTTTAACCATTTATTCACTCAGTAAATAAGTATTGAGTGGTTTCCATTTGCTAGCTCTGCCTAGTACTATGAAGTCAAAAGTACACATTGGAGTGTGTATGCAAATTATGCAAATTATTTTCTTGTTTGTGAGTGAGAAGCTGAGGAAGAACAAAGGACAAGATCCTTGAAGGAGGTCTAGTCACAGAATCCAGAGGACAGATCATTCGTATAAATATTGAAATCTATTAAAACTAAGTCAGGAGCAATGTTCCTGACCATGATCTTGGTACTAAAATCTTTATGGAATGAGAGAGAGCACCCCAAGGTGTGAAAAATGGCCATAGTCAGGGAGGGTGGGAGATGGTAGAATTTGATGCCATGGTATTCACAGCCAATGTTTGTCATTTGCTTGTTGGTTGGTGTTTTGTTTGTTTATTTGTGATAGAGAATATGCTTGAGAGAGAGAGAGAAAGAAAGGGAGAGATGAGCGCTCTCCATGGGATCTGTCCACACCACAATTCCCTTTCTCTAGTCCTCCAACTCATCTGATCCCGGACACTCAGGCACTGGCCCAGGGCCTGAATCCATGGATGCCATGCGGGACCTGCCTCTCCTGAGCAGTGCCTCTCCGCTGCACCCCAGAGCCAGCCCTCAGAGCCAGTGTTCTTACAGTGAGGAAGGGAGATTCATCTCAAAGCACCAATGGAAAGCAAGGCAGGGATCATACTCCAACTTTAAGTCTAGTCATTCTGAAGGATGGAAGAGAAAAAAAGAATTATTAAAAGGAATAAAGAGAACTAAAAAAAGAATCAGGTTTCAGTTCATGTAAAGGGAACATTAAAAAGATTGAGAATAGTTATAGTTGGGTACATATTAAGTCGTTGGCAAAGTCATGACATGTTTTTCTATGCGAAATGCATCATAACTTTCTCGACATCTCAATATTTAACTAAACATGCATTCCAGAGGACAAATTGGAGTATTTTCTGAAAATAATAAGGAGTATATTAGGGGTCATTATGATATCTGACATAAATAATGTCTGAGGTTTAGAGTCTGGAATGAGAAACTACCTGGAAAACTCCTGTATCTTATTGTGACCAACATACCTAAGAAGGAACATGGTGGGTTAGTCCTCTGGTCTCCGTGCATACAGTGAGAGTGGGACTGTGTGCATGAGCAGGAAGGATAGTGCAGTCCATGTCCTTCAAAGAATATGCAGAATTCTGGTTTTCCACCTGAACCTTGCCAGAGGATACCTATGGAGGGTGTCAGACCATATAGTCACTCTTAACCTCCATCAATACTACCCTCTGTCTTACAGGCTATGAAATTTTGATAAGGTATATTTCTTAAGAAAAGGAAAATAGAGAATAAATTTTTGGCTTACGGTGGAGTATCCCAGAGTGAATTATTGTTTGTTTGTTTGTTTTTCAGTTGAATTTCAGAGACTTCTTCAGCAAACGGTGAACCTTTCACTCATTTTTTTTTTCAAGATGGGATACAAAGGACCAGTGGTTGAAATATTGGAAAGAGTATTGAAAAGAAGGAAATAGTATTTCTCTTGTTATTACTATCTCTTCCCTGAAGCGGGGCAGCCACCAGTTTACAAGCTGCCCAATGAGATATAAAAACAAAATCAGAAAACTGAAAGAGAAAATCTGTCTTCCCTGGACACATACTCTTGCCTCAGTCAATAAAACAGGACTTGGAACAGTTTTGCCAGTAATGAGGAAAATGTGTTTCCTCTCTGTCCTGCTCTCATTCACGCATTTCCAATGGAGTAGTTTCTCTTCTTACCGGTAGAAGAAGGGGTCCTGAGCCTTCACGCAGTCTGACTTTTCTTGGTACTGCAGTTCCTTTATGCCACCTGCTTCTTTCTCCTTTCCTTGTGATGTCAAGGATTCGAGTGGAGGATAGTCACTGGCTTCTTACCCAACCCATCCCCCACTGCAGGGATCATGCTCAGTTTTTTTTTTTTTTTTGGGGGGGTTTCCCCACAGGGGGCCCGCGCACCCCAG